ACATGTACATCACTTATCACTTCATTTTTACTGTGTATGTAAATAGGCATACAATAGATTGTTGAAATTGATAGATGAATTTAACAAAAGAAATTTGGACCGTGAAAAATTGAAACAGGAATTATGCAATGCAATACATGATGAGGTATACTTTTCCTATGTTTGTTACCCATTATTATTATTATGAGGTATAATCATAGTAATCATTTTAAACATTTCATCACTTACATGTATTTATAATTTTACACACAAATAATAGTTATACCAAAACCTTGTTGGAATGATAAAAAATGAATTACAAGATAATTTCGAAGATCAATTTTTTGATGAAAGAACCTCTTATGATGAGGTATCATACTTCATATTCCTTACATATTATGTACACATGCATACAGATATACCAAAAACTAGTAGAAAAAATAGATGACTTTGATAAAAAGAGCACTGAGCTACAAAGTTCAAAGCAGGAATTGTGCAGAGATATTGAGAAACTTGAAGAAAAAATTGACTGTAAGCCAAAAAATACCATTGAGTAAAATTTTGTTTTTGATTTTAGGTCTTGAAAAAGGTATGCATTGATGCATAATTATAATGATTATCAACCAGAATGAAAATTAATTTGTATAGATAAAATGGATTTAAAGGAAAACACATGTTCACTAGAACAAAAACTAGGAGAATTGCAAAACAATGGTAAGAAAACTTATTAGTTAATTAAAATTAAGGTTTATATCATTTTTTAGAATCCTACTTAAAAGGGCAGTTGGAAATGAAAGACAAAATAATAAGAGTGGCTATCATGGAGAAGGAAAAAATGGATGATAAAATGAGTAAGAATTTTTAATAGTATTCCCAATATTACTTTTATTGCAGGGAATCTGAAAGAACAGCAACAAAAAGAGATTAAGACTTTTCAAGATAAAATTTTGTCATTAAGGTTGCAGCTGCTTCAGAATCAGGGTACATAGTTATGTATAAAAAATGAATCATGCACCAAAAAGAAATTAAAAGTGTGACAGTCTATATGGTACTTTTTAGGTGGTACTGCAAGTAAGGAAACCGCTATTGAAAAGGAAACCACAAATCAGCCTGTACCAATACCACAACAGCAAGAATATGATCCACATACAGGTTTGTATTTTTGTAATAAAATAATCATTGTTTTGCCTATAGAAAATATTTCTGTGTCCAATTCTGAAATTACTCTAACAACCCCTGTCTTAAAACATGCAAAGAAATTCAAATTCAAGATACTGTCCTATCATTATCATTGCATAATGCTTTTGCTGATTCTGCTTCTGCAATTTTATTACGACTACAGATGACATCAATAGCGTATCTCTACATTAATAGGACACGTTTATCTCTTGATAGTGTGCATTCTATCGTTGATGTACTGCAAAGGCTTAAAGCTCTTCGACTTAGCAATGTCTATCTTCCTCCTACCAGTTTGAGCTACATCCTCAATGCCTTGTTGACCAATGAGTCGTTAAAAGAATTCACCATTCAATTTGAGGACCAAATGATGCTGCCTCTCTCCTCCACAAGTGCTGGTTTTTATGCGCAAGCTATTTCTAATATTATTCAAAGCAACTCAACTTTACAGTACATATCAATTCTTGGCCTTAGACTTGGTGAAGCTGGGGTGGTGAAAATTCTACTTGCTCTTGCAAAGGACAACAACACCCTTCGACTGCTCACCCTAGACTTGTCTCATCAAGCAACTGCTTACAGATTCGCTGAAGCTAATGGTCCCATTAAAGACAGACTGAGTTTTTCTTAACTGAAAACTTTTGCTTTTTATGATGCTGACTATTGAATTAGTATAATAGCTTAGCAACTTTTTGATGTTGTATGTTATTAGTATAGCTACTATTAGAATTTTTGTTGCTGTGTGACACTTTATTTTATAAAAGCTGCTATTAGACTTTTTGACGCTGTGTGTATCTTTATAATTGCTTTTACTTAATATAGTATTTTCTTAAGTTAGTTCAAATTTCCGTTATCAGTTTCTTTAGTAAATAGCAGTGGTATTGAACCCTACTACAAGTATTATATCACTGTTACTTTCTAAATAGAGGGGAGTATCCCTTTAAAAGCAGTCATGTGAATGTTTTTACAATTCACAATCAAAATTATCTTAAGCTTATCAATAACACCATAGATTGAATCTATGATAACACAGAGTGAATTAAAATTCATTTGCTCATTTGACTGTTTATACAAAAATACCAACTAAAACAACAAAGATGATTTACTATGTTACTATTTTTAGTATACTACTATTCTTTTATTAAAATAGTCACAAATGTATAAGAGTCCATTGCAGTCAAAGTCAATCCCCTCGGGACATTTGAGACAATAATCTGGATTACTGACATGACGACCAAATCGATTGATAAAGTGACCCTCAGTATCAAACACAGCAACAGAATGAGTTCCTTTCTCTGTGACATATAACTGATTCTTGTGGCTGATAGTTATACCAGCAGGAGACGATAAAGTCCCTTCTCCAGTTTTGCCAAA